ACGTGCGTTAGTGTTTCATGTAAATGATACATCGTACTGTGTGGTTATCTTTCTACAACTTACTTTTTTTATGCAACAGCACATCTTGGAGATCTGCTGTTCTTTTTCATGTCTGGATTGCATTTTAATGTATATTGCAGATTACACAGCATCTCCCCACTAAGGATAGTTGTCATAACTTTTTTTCTCCTATTTTTTTCTCCTATTAAAAGCCTTCCTGGACTCTCACATGGCTGACTACAGTTGAGTCCGAGACCCAGTAGCTTAAAACCCACACTGGGCGCAGGTGCATGTGTGCCCAAGATCCCAGGAGGAGGATAGAGGAAAAGGGATAGCATGGTCATCCCTCCAAGGGGTGATTTTCCACGTTCTCTCTCACTGTCTCTGTCTCTGTCTCTCTCTCTGCAGTGAGCACATATGCCTTAAAGCAAAAATCTCTTTAAAAAAAGCTTTCCAAGCTTTCTTGTACATGACTTCTAATGCACACATATGTTTCTTTAGAATAAGTATTTAGAGGTTGAATTTTGGGGTCACAGAATATACATATTCCAAAATTTTCATAGATCCTGCTAAGGTGATTATATCACTTTTTTCTCCACCAGCAATTTATAAGTTGAGTACTTGTTTTTCCTCACCTATTTTAACATTAAATATATTTGTCTGAACATTTATAAGGCTTGTGATATTTTTATCACTGTTTAAATTGGCCTTTTATTTACCATTATTATCGAAGGCTGGCCCTTCTCTTCTTCAAACACAACTCTAATTCCAGATTTTCTTGAAGATCTGGAAAAAAATCCTATTTCAAAAATATTAAAAATCGCTCATTGATGATAGTGTATAACCAGAAAGAGATAATACTGTCCAAAATGGACTGGATTTGGGGGATATTTCTTTGAAAAAATTTTAAAATTTAAAATAATTTAACTGTAATCCTGGGCCAAAGAAGAAATGAAACAGCTAGGCCTGTGTGGATTCTCCCAAGGACAAAATCTGTTAGATCAAGTTACTTGTGCCCAATACCATTCTCTAAGAAAATACCCATTTATTAAAATGGCTACGTAAAAACTTACTCATTACCATTGACCACCGTATTTCTCATGATATGGTTTAGATGGGTGACTGCTTGTTAGCTGCACTGAGTGGTGCAGTGGCAGAAAACAGTGCAAGCAGGCTGCGTAGTAGGGGGCAATGGAACAGCCACTTCCTCGTCCTTTTCTCACCGGCCACCATAGAGGGAAGGAGGCAGCCATCATGTGTCCCATCTATATTATTACTCCCCTCTACTTCCAGAGACAACGACTGAGTGAATGCAGGTGCGCACTCACTAAAGTGAGTTAGACATAGTATCGCCCCTGTGCAAGAAGTTCTGGGAAACATAAAACACCTTTTCCTGATTTTCCTTATCAAATTTCATAAAACATTTACTTAGAAAAATGAAAACTTTGTATGTGATATATACACACATACCATTTCAGCTATTCAAAAGGACGACATCCTGTCACTTGCTGTTAAATGGGTGAGCCTGAAGGACATTAGATTAAGTGAAATAAGCCAGGCATAGAAAGAGAAACACCACACGTTTTCCTTCATGTGTGGAAATGGGAAAAACGACCTTATAGAGGATGAAGAATGACTGCTGGAGGCTGGGCAGAGGGAAGAGCAGGATAGAGGGATGTCGATGAATGGAAATAAAATTGCAGCTAGATAGGAGGAACAATTTCTTTTCTTTTTCTTTTTCTTTTCTTTTTTTTTTTTTTTGAGAGGTTTTTTGCTATAGGGCGTGTACACTCGCCAGACAGAGACAGAGAGACAGAGAGACAGAAAGCGAGAAATCACTCCCCAGGGGGGATGGCCACGCCGCAATCCCTTCTCCTTCGTTCTCCTCTCGGGATCTTGGGCACGCACGCACACGCGCCTGGCATGAGTTTAAGCCACTGGGTCCGGGACTCAAACTGCGGTCAACTACGTGGGAGTCCAGTGACATAGCCATTACGCTAACTTCTGGTCACAGGAGGAACAATTTCTAGTGTTACACAATACGGGGGGGGGGATATGAATGACAACAACTTGTGCATCTCAAAGTAACTGAACGAGAGGGTTTTGAATATTCACAATATAAGTAAATTACAAGTGGTTGAGAAGATGGGCATCAAGACTCATCTTGATTTAATTACCACTTAGTGTATCTTGTACTGAAAAGTCACATTGTACCCTCCACAAATATGTAGAATTATTATATGTTAATTGAAGAATATTTTTTAAAAAACCAAACATTTTAGTAACAATAGTGGCATGCGTCTACTACAGAAAATTTAGGAAACAGAAAAGTGCTAGGAAGAAAATAAAAATCACCCATTCTTGTAGCACCCCAAATAACCAAAATATTGTTAATATTTGGTATATATCCTTCTACTGCAGTCCTTTTGGTCTGTGGATAAACACAGAAGCTGTGGAGATTTTAGGGGTAGAGCATACATATTAAGTTTACTTTCCCTCTAATTATTCCTCCAATCCTATTTCCCCCTACTCTTCCTCTGCTAATGTCCCAGGAGAAAATGAGATTTGCGACTAGTGAAAATCATAGGACTTCAAAATGCATAAACGGGGTCAGCAGGGTGGTATGGTGGTTAAAGTGCTGGATTTCCACATGGTGGACCACAGTTTGAGCCCTGTACACACAGCTTGAAACTCAGGCCAGGCATGTGCATGTGTGCAAAATGCCAAGAGGAGAATGCAGCAGAAGAGATTGTGGTATGGCCATCCTGCCTGGGGGGTGCTTGCTCACTTTCTCTCTCTCCCTCTCTGTCTCTCTCTGTCTATACTTCTTTGGTGAGTATATGTACCTTGTAGCAAAAACTTAAAGGAAAAAAAAAAATGCATGAACTCGGCCATGTTAGCAAAGACCCAGCCGTGGGCAGAGTAAAGGTCATAGATGTTCCCGACAAGGAAGAAAGGACGGTGTAGGATGGTGTGACGGTGCTGACAGTCTGGACTCCGAGTGGCCCTACTGCTCGGGGAATGCACTCCTCTGCTTTTGTTTTTTTCTAGTCAGTGCCCTTTGGTGGGCTGTGGTTGGCTGCTTTTTCCAGAGGGTGCTGGGCTGTCTCCTTTCCCTCATCTCAGCCTGTCTGTATCCCTTCCTTTCTTCCTGGCAATCTGTCAGTCCAGCAATACTTTTTGTGGTTTGTTCAGTCACTCCTTCAAACGTCTTTCACCATAACTTGACGTCACTTTCTGTTGCTTCCTATGTAGTTCTGAGTAATTTTAGAAGCAACTGCAGAAGTCACAGTCCAATCAGAGAAAGGATGTGGCTTGGAGCCTTTCTTCTGGGAGCTTGTCAGGCAGTGCTGAACTGCAGCACCAGGGCCTCCTGGCCCAGGAGGCAAAAGATTCCATAGGACCCCTCTTGTCCCAAATTCAAAGGAATTGTTAATAGAATATATACTTTCCTCCAGATTAAAAAAAATAATAATAATGGAGATCTTATTCACTTCGGGTTTATAATCTTAGGTTTCTGTTTTAAGGAACAAAAGTATGCCGTGTCACCTCCCACAGTCTTTTCAGACTTAGGGCTGTGGGACATTTACGCAGAAGTACACCGATATGTGCCCTGACCCAGAACAGACAGCAGCTAACTCTACCCACAGGCACAACAGACAGCCACTGATGATACCCGGTTGGACAATGTTCCCTCTCACCTACTTTCTTAATCTCGCTCTCAAAGTTTTCTTGCCTGCTACAGCCTGGTAGTCTATTTGTGAAGTCTTGGGGACCATAATAGTTGAAGTTAGGTTTGGCTGTTGGTTATGGTAAAACAAAATGGGAGAGGATTAGAGGAGCTGGAGATTTCTCTCTCTCCCTCATGTGAACATCTTGGAGTTGGAAGTACAGAGCTGGTGTGGTGGCTCGGTTCTGTGGAGTCCTCAGGGAGCCCACTCCTTCTGTTCTAGAGTTCCAACAAGCGTGGCCTTCATACCCGAGATCAATACCTGGTCTAAGACGGAGCTTCAGCTGTCGCATCTGTGTTCTGGGAAATCAGTTGGAGAACGGGGTTGAGAAAGCTGCCCTCTTAGGACAAGACCCAGAAGATGTACCATGGCATATTCACTCCCATTCCATTAGTCATACAGATAAACCTAGCTGCAAGAGAGGCTTGGAAATGTCAGTTATCTGGTGGCCGGCTAGGAAATGAGGAAAATGGCTACTGGGGAATAAGCAGCAATTTCTGTCACAAGGGCTTGTTGGAATTCCAAAATGCCACTCTGAGAATATAAGTGGCCCAGAGAGGGGGTTTCCAACTCCAGTCACCATCCAGGGCTTTTGTAGGGATCAGAGTGCTGTTGTGGAAAAGCTCACCTCATAAGAATGGGGTGTGTGCCCAGGGACAGGCTGAGAGGGCTGTCCAGAGAGCCGGGAGTAGGAACACAGATGAGTTTTCCCTGAGGCCCTGATGTGTGCCTACATCTTCCACATCAGAAGGATGACTGTAGAAATAAGGGTTAGCCATGAGTTCTGTGAGCTCCTAGAGGTCTCACTACTGCAACTCAGGACAGAACTGGTGTCTTCAGCACCTGATAGGTGCAGGGCACTGAGCTAGGAGCTGTTCTGTCATTTAATTTTCACAGAAACTTTTTGTCTTCTTCGTTACCATGCCATTTTACAGACATGGAAACAGGCTGTGTGATGAAATCATACAGCTAGTAAGTAGAAAGAGGGTTTTAATCTGTTACTCTTTCAGTATAGAGTACTACATTGGAGGTTCAAGGTTCCAAATACATATGTTCTTGAAAAATGTGTGCACTGACTTTTTGTAAGAGAATCACATACAAGGCCAGGTAGAGGAGGGTGGTTGTGGCTACTATGTATAGGCTGTGAATACTTTGGTCATTTGTCTTGTGTGAATATTTTAGTAAAACAAAGACTTCTTTAATAAAAATACTCACCCCTAATTTATTGTAGGAATCCAGATTTTCCTATGTCAGTTTGAACTAAATCAAGATGTTCTACCTATTCATCTAAGTATACTTTGGATCATGAGGCTTAATTTTGCAATGACCTAACTGTAATTTCACTAATAAGATTGTAAATGTTAACATAATTTAACTAATGCTGATTTTCTCATAGGATGAACACATGAATGATGATCTTTCAGTGGAACAAAATGAAAATGCCCCGGTACAAATAAATCTCAACCAGCGTCCTGATGGGCCTCCCAAGCAGAAAAAAGAGACAGGGTAAATGAAATTATTTTATCAGTAATTCAAAGAAATGGATGAAAATACTGTGGGGAAAACTGAGTGACTGATTAAGTGGTCAGGAGATGGAAGGAGATGGAAATTTCTCTCACATTAGCTCAAAAATATTTGAAGTCAGAATGAAAGCAAGACTGATAAAACAGATCAGACAACTAAATTAATGTTTCACCCTAGGACTGGTTTTAATGAGAATAATTGCTAAGAGAAATTTCTTTTTATATTTATTCATATAAAGCAATTATTGTCCCTCCAGTGCATTTGTTTCTTTATTCATGAGAGAGCACGTGTGTGTGCATGAGAGAGAGAAATGAGCACCCGGGTCATGCCACAATCCCCTTCCTTCAGCCCTCCAGCCCATCAAATCCTGGGCACTGTGTCCAGCATGTTCAGGCTGACCAGGCTGGAAATTTGAACCATGGGCGCCATGTGGGATCTAGCTTCTCTTGAGCAGCACATTACTGTTCACCATGGAGCTGGCTTTCCAGTGTATTTTTAAAGGGTGGTGGTTGTGAAACTTCCATAACTTAAAAAGCATGACTTCAACTTGGTGAATGTGAATTTTCTGAACCACTTATAGGTGAAAGGCATTTATTTTGATTCTCCTGACTGCTTCAGGTACAACTATGCAGTGACCCTACAACTGCTGGGCTTGGATGACGGGACTGAGTTCAGAGATAGGAATCCTGTCCTGATGAAAGGGGCTTACCTGTCCTTTCTCTCTCTGCGCCACCTGCGAATCAGAGAGCTGCAGGTACGTGGGTGGCCCGGCATGCTGATTTCAGGCATCTGAAATGCCTGGTTGTAGGCAGAGGACTTTCCTGCTATTGCAGCAATGTGTTTTTGTACTTTTACTCTCTGGGGTGGTGTGTTCCTGTCTCTGCAGTAGGGTTGACCAGCTGCCCACAAAGCCTCCCTCTAAGTTGCACTCCATAGGATGGAGCCAGGAAAAGGCAGGGGCCTGATTCTGTTTTTTCTTTGTTTTAGCGCATCTGCTTAGGAATTCTGAACTATTTCAGATCTGTTGAGCGAACCCTGACAATCAATACTTCAGGCCTTACCTTGGTTTCAGGGAACTTGGTCCCCACCGTGGAAGGTAGTTCCTGGATAAATACTGCAAAAGGAGGCTTGGGCACCTTGCAAGGTCTAGGAGCTCACCACTACGTCCATGCGACACCTGCTGA